AATAATAATTATAATTATAACAATAATACTGTACGATTATAAATAATATATATAGTTTTTATATATAATTATATATAGTTATAATTGATAATAGTAATATATCAATCGATCGATATATAATAGGTATATCGGTCGTCATTGAACTTATTTTGCTAAAGATGAGTAACGAACAATTTTAGGGTAGTAGGTTCTGGTGACCCTATTCTTTATTGGAATTAAAAACTGAAGAAAAATAAAAAACTGTGTACAAATACTATATATAATAATTTATAAATTGTTTTTAATTATTCCATAAAATGTTGATTACGTACAGAGATTAAAAAAAATTCGACTTCTACACAATTATGATACACACTGTATTCTCATCATCAGTTTGTGTACCTATAAACGTTTAATTTCGATGGGCTTTGCGTAAAACTTGGACGCGTAAAAACATTTGCGTTCGGGTCAGAAGTAATCACTTTACACCACATTATTATTAGTGGGAGCACATTGTGACCAGTATCACCATCGAAACAATAATAATTTTCTAATATGTGTATTTCAACACTGAATAAATAGAGCGCGGTATGTTATTGTTCGAAAATTTCAAAGTGCATAATTAATATGACGTCACGCCACCGCCGTTTGTTTGCTACTAAATATTAATTAATATTTACGATCATCAGAAATGCAAACCTGATGAGGTCCCTTTCGATGAAGTTGCCCATGGTTTATTGATGAACGCTGAAATTAAACAGTTGAACCCGACCTGTATTTCAATTTGTATTTAATGCAAATATCTGCATTTTCCACCGACTTAATGAAGTAACTTACCCAACGTAACTATATTATTTTTTTTTTTTCCATTAGTTTTTTTGAATATAACATATGGTTTTATTTTATTCTGAATTAAAAATTAAAAATAATAACAGTCAACTCATCACTTGATAGAAACCTTGATTTTATTACTTTTGTTTATTTAGGCACTTGATTTTCAAGTTGTTTGGTTTTATGTGTTCAAATACTAAAATACAACAATTTATTGACTAACTACGCGTTTGATTTTAACACTTTTGAATTTAGAGAATTTCAATTTTTTTAACGAATAAATCCCTCCACTCGTAAGCAACACAGTGATTATTGATTTTAAGTATAACATTTTATTAAGTCAGTTATGATACTAACCGGAAGATCTCTACGGGGAACGTTGTATTAGTGACAATAGTTTGTTACTTTTTAGTTGATAAAAAGCTGTGCGGAAAGTTATGATACTTTTATCAAATTCCGTAAGTTATTCATTCTCTCTCCAAATAAGTAATAAATAAAAAGAAGACAAAAAAATATGAAAATCGATCTAAGAATCTAGGCCACCGATGATTGATGCTCGTACGATAGGTACACTATACTAAAATCCTATTGAAGTGCCACTGCGTCATAAGAATTTCAGTACCCATGCGGTAATTAATTTATGAAATTATAAATAGCAAAATCATAAATTTCTAACAATTTTTCTAATTTCTACTTAACCTTTCCAAAAATACTACATATCCTTCCTCGATAAATGAGCTATTCCAGTGGTTTTTAACCTTTTTGGGTCCACGTGTCCTTTTGATTTTGAAATAAAATATACGGGTCCCATACAAACATTTAAAATAAATAAATTTATTTTTTTTAATCATTTTAATCTAATTTTATATTAAACATGTAATTATTAATAATAAGAAATTTTTTTTTTTTTGAGATTTATTTTTTTTACAGTCAAAAAAATTAATACAATAATAATAAATTTAATATTTATTATAACCACTTTGCTTGTTTTTGTTGCATAATACTATCAAATCGCGGCGTAAATTTTGAAAGCTCGATTCTCATTTCCTTTTAGGTATTCAGTCTATATTTAGTTTTAATAACTGCTAAGGCCATAAAACTCGTTTCACGTAAGTATGAAGAAGCAAATAGAATCAAAGTCCTGATAGCCTCATTGGCTACGATCAAATACTGCTTCTTCATAGCTATCAAAAAAAAAAAAAAAAAAAAATCAGTCAGCAATAAAATGTGAATCTCATTAACTTGTAAAGATACATTTAAGACATTGAGTTTTTCAAAAATATCACTTAAGTTCGATCATTTTATTAAAAAAAATTAATTTTAAAATTTTTCAAAATGTTTTTTTTTTTTTTTGTTCAAAAATAAAACAATTAAGTTCTTTTAGCATTTCAAATACTTTTCTCAACACATTTCCTTGTGAAAGTCAACGGGAGTTGCAATAGTAAAAATGATAAGTAAGCTTAGTTTCCGTGTATTCACATATTTTTTCAAATTACCGGGAATTTATAAGTCAAATTTTGATGAAATTAACTATTTTAATAATACAAAGCAAGACTTCATTAAGACTGACTAATAGTTTTGGAATCCAGAGCTTTTCTGTGAATAATACAGTGCATCCATACAGCATAAGAGGCTTTTTTTTTTTTTTTTTTTTTAACGAGTATCTGTAAACTATTATAACAACCTGATATAGAGCGAGCTCCATTAGTGCATATACCAAAACATCTATCCCAGACAATTGTTTTCAATCATGAAAGAATTTCATTATTTAAATAAATCTGCTGCTTTTGTTATACCAACAATAGTTTTACAAAAAAGTAAATCTTCATGAAACACGTAATTTACTACGAACCTTACATAACAAATAAGATGGGCATCATTATGACTGTCAGTTGCTTCATCCAGTTGAATGGCGAAAACATTTCCTTTCAGTTTTTCAATTAACTGGTCATTGATATCTTCAGTCATATCTTGTATTCAACGACTAATAGTGCTATCCGATAATGGCACATTTAAACTGTTTAGCAGTAGCATCCCCAATCATAATAGACACCATAACAGCTGATAAAATAAGATTTTCTGCGATACTATTAGGTTTTTTACTCTTTACTATTCGCTAAGCTACTTTATACGAAGAAAGTAATGCTTTAGAAGGAATTGTAGCTGGTTTTGTAAAATTATGATTTTGTTGAGCCATTGCTATTAACTTTGATGCGAAATAATTACGTGGTTTGTTCACCAAATTTTCATGATTTGTCTTCAAATCGTGATTTAATAAAATTATAAAAAAATTAATTATAAAAGCATAATTACTTTCAAATAAATGACACACTGGGGATGTTCTACGTTTTCAATAACAGTGCTAGTAAAGCCGAAATTCAAATAACTATTGTCATATTTTCTGAATTTTTGTTTCTTCTTTTCAATATTTGACCCTTTTGAACAACCACGTTTTCTATTAGAATTCAAAAACATAGTTGTAACTACTATTATTACAGAAAAAAAAAACAAATAACACAGAACAAAATTCTATCGTAATAAATATCGTTCGATGTATGTAGCCGTAGCGCATTTAATACACTGAATACAAAGCTGTGTGAATGTTACAATTGATAAATTAGGGGCAAATCATTAAATCTTTGTAAATATTAATCAATGTACTCCATTACTTAATATCGCAAATACTTAAATAGACCTAAATCACGATTATCGTTGGCCGATTCGTCTCACATACACGCACGCACAACATGTATTGGTGTGTGGACTAAACGGCTTCAAAAAAGATAACATAAACTATAATTAATATTATATTAAAATTGTATTTTTAATTTTTGCTACGAACGCCACTCCCTTGATAATAACCAACGATATCCCTAGCCGCGACGCACTGGTTGAAAACTACTAGGCTATCCAACACAATAATAATTTTTGAATTCGAACCAGTAGTTCCTGACATAAGCACGTTCAACCAAACAAACTCTTCAGCTTTTTCATATAATATAATACAGCCGAGTCGCGATAATACGAAGTTGAAGGGGGATAAAAATTCACTTCGAGATATGTTTTAATCGAGATATCTAACTAATTTATAGGGGAAGAATTTTCTAGAGGAATAAAACATAATTCGAGTTGTCAAATTGTTTGAGTTGTTTGAGGTTCGAGTTATTGCGACCCGACTGTGTATAATATAATATAAAATATAATATATAATATGTATAGTACCTAATTTTTATATTTCCCATTCGAAAATAGAGTTATAACAATTGCTGTTTGTGGTTATTTTCAACTTTACCGATATATTAATTATAAACATTATAAAATAATTAATAAACTTTCCAATATCATAAAAGTATCGTATATTATATCATGTATTTTGCTTTAACAGACATATATAAATTAATATTCAACCCATTAATATTATAGAATGTATACTAATAAATTTATCGGGTATTTAGTAACCTATGAATACAATTCACATGATATGATTAATACATTTATGGAGTTAGGTTTCCGCGATTTATTGTGTGTTCCAAATCAAAATTAAAGTACCATGATAAATTAAACAACGTAGGTATTTTTCGAAATGGTATGAGTTGAGTTTGGAAAAAAATATTTGGGTTTGTCTACAAGGGATTGATTTTATTTTCCATTTAAAAAGTACACCAGCGCTAAATAAAACCAATACTATTATAATTATTATTACATCATTTTAAGGATTAGGCAACTAAAATTATTAAAAAAATACCCACAAAATTGGTTATCACTAGTTTATTTTCTTTAAAAACTCGCGTAAAAGATTTTCTTAATCAAAACATAAAACTAAATTATTATAATGTTGTATGTTAAATGTGGAGAGATAGTTAATTACACCAGTATTCAATTTTATGAGTATTCATAGGTGATCACAATGCATGTATAAAAATGTATTTATTCTTAATTATTTTATTCTTAGTATTTAAGCAACTACTTTTTTAATTCGATTTTAACTAAATATCTTTTTAAAAAGAAAACTAGGTTCAAATAAAACTAAAAGGAATTTTTTATTTTATAGAAGATGAATTCACTTTTGTAATAAAAAAAAGTAATGAAAATGTTTATGTCAGTTACTTCTGCGTATCGGTTCAATTGACCTTGATTTTGTTCGTTTAATATTTATACGTTTTTTATTTTCCTCCCGATTATTGTTGCAGGACTAATAGAATGAGACCGTGGCCACTGCTGCTCCTTCTGGCGTGGTGCGCTTCCGGCACCCTTGGGCAACGGCCTACGCCGAACAAGCGACACGACGTTTACATAGCCGGGTTCTTCCCGTTCGGCGGTCGCGTGTCCGGCAGCATACCTGAGGGTCGGGTCGGCCGAGGGGTCATGCCCGCCGTCAAATTGGCTGTGGACCATATCAATGAGAATCCCACGCTGCTGCGCAACTACCGGCTTCACGTATGGTGGAACGATACCCAAGTGAGTGGAGTACATTAGCATACTGGTGACGGATGATTCTTGAAGGTCAATTGGTCTTTCGAATCGATTTTAACCGGAACGAAAAGAAATATCCAAAAAAAAAGATCGATTCACTTAACTAACCTAACCTTACCTGTACTTAAAATAATGAAATAGCGTCCAAGTAAATTGTTTAAAATTTTATCAATTTTCATTTCTAATTAAAAAAATTGGGTTGGCTTAAAGGACGATGGGAGGAATCGTTACATAGCTGTCTTAATATTTATTTCCAACGAACATAAAATAAACGTTCGTAAGAGTAATATTAAAATAAATCAAAAAATTTTCACGTTGCCGGTTTCATATGAGTCCCACACAAAATCTTTTTTTTATCCTGGGACCTACTTGGGGTGATGTCACATAGCAAATCTGGAGATATTTTCGTTTTTAACGGTCCGAGCGAGCGAATGACCCCGCTCGGTTTCGAAGTGCACGCATGTTATTTTAGATAAATGTATACGTAATTTATGTGTACATATATATATATATATATATATATATATATATATATATATAAATGTGTGCGGTATTGAACGGTTTAATTTGGCGAAAATGTGTGGGATTAAGATATAATAGTGTGCGGTTATGAACGACGCTCTTATTATCGTAGGCCATGCATCATTTTGTTTTTCCTAAAATACTGTGGTGACGTAAACAACGCACCGCGAATCGTCCAAGTTGTTTACAATATTGTCAGTGGATAAGGGGAAATCCCATGTTCTAGAATATACGATGATTATCTCGTTAAGGTAATTTCGAGAATGTTCTAGACAATCGACGCCGATATATATATACCGGCTGGTCAGACGTCAGGCCGTGAGTACAATCCGCGACACACCGTGAATTACACTTCGCGATGTATTCGGCAATTCCTCCGCAATTGTAACGCGTATCGATATTTGTACATACATATTTATATAATATAGTGTCTATTTTAATTAAATTTGTGAGTGATTTTTATTACTTAAATCCCCCAATACCTTTGTTATTCGTTTTATACTCGCACCGTTTAACACTTAATTTATAGTTGGAACTCTGTGTTCTGATGGACGTAGAATAATCTTTTTAAACAGTAATAACAATACCGAACGTGGACCATCCCTGGTATTAACAAAATACAAAATAATATTGGTGTTATTAATAAAAGAGATCCAATTTATGAAAATAATTATCTTAAATCAGTTAACACAATTACATTATACTATAGTATGTTAGGGATGGGAAGTTTCGTTCAGTTAATTGAACTAGTTCGTTCGTTTATCGTTCACTTAATTGAACTAGTTCACTGAACGATACACGGCTTATGTAATGTATATCTCGTAGTTCTGTTTAATTGGGAATGGGAAATTGGGAACTTGAAGTTTCGTTCAGTTGGATATAGTAGTTCGTTCGTTCATCGTTCACTAAACGATACACGGATTGACTGAATTAGAGATGTGTCGTTCGCGAACGAACGGGTCGTCGTTCGTCCGATTTTATTATTCTTATCGTTCGTTCGTCCATCATTCGTTCATCAACCAATCGTTCATTGAACTAGGTCGTTCACGAACGACACATCCCTACATATAGTATATGTAAAAAATAATAAATTAAGTTTTAATAAGCTTGAGGATAATATGAACTAAAATATTAACTTAAGAGGACGTGATACCAAAAGTGAAACGTATACAACGGCTAAGAGAATGCGCTGTTAAGTGTTTTCGCGATCCGCAAGCGCGCGGCGTTTAAGTCACGCCCACTACTCGCAACCGGTGTCACAGGCGATTATTACCCCCTATATTATTACCCCCCTCACAATTTTTTACCGGGGGGTATTAATCGCCTGAGGTAATAATCACCTGTTGCTGTTGTAGATTATTACCTCAGGCGATTATTACCTCCCCGGTATAAATGTTAGGGGGGTAAAAATCGCCTGTTACAAAAATGTCAAAATGTCTAAAAACAGTAAAAACATGTCTCAGAACAGCTCACATTTAATTTACAATGAACGTAAAGAAACTAAACTTTACCTAAATAAAGATGACAATATTATCAGTGTTTGTATGTTGGATATAATAAATAAGTCAACTCGGTCAGTTTGTATGATGCAAAAAATATTGCAAAAAACTAACTTCTTACACAGGTAATAAAAATGAATGTATTATAGCTATCGAAAAAAACCAACGTAAAAACACGAATAATATTGTCATACTTATGTTTGTAAAATTTGATAATTGTACGACTACTGTAACCCAAATGAGAGCTAATCTACTGGAACATGTATTTTAACGGAAAATACGTGAGTGTTATGCGCTATTAATCCTCTTATACAATTATGAAATATAAATCATTCGCTCGCGTGCAGCGTTAGAGATATGACGTATATCATATTATCTACTTAGTATATCAATATAATTAGTATTTTGTCTAAATACACTGTGTTTCAGGGACGCCCACAGAAATGTAGCTCAGGGGGGGGGCAAAAAAATTGTAAGTACCTAAATACTTATAGGAAGATTTACTGCTACATATTTCATCTACTCATATTTTGTATGACTATCATTAATAATTTTTTAAAAATCAAAACTCATTTAAGTTTATATAAAATTACATTATTAGTTATTAGTTTTAATATTTATAAGAAAAAATATAATAAAGTTTAAACAAAAAACAACTTTATTTGATTGAATTCGCATCATATTTTATTATTTTATTCAAAAATTAATGACAATCTCCTTTTGTTTGAAGCAAATAAATTAATTGAATCATCATTTGTTGATTAAAAAAAATGTTAGATACTTGTTAGATACAAGGATTGTCGAATAGTCACTGAATACCCAAGATCAGCTTTATGTAAAATAACTTTCAATTTTGTAAGGGACGCGAAAATCTCAGGGGGGACAATGGCCCCCACTGGCCCCCCATCCGGGCGTCCCTGCTGTGTTTAATATCATTCGATGTGATGAGTGAAGATTTACTGCTCAATCTGGCTTCATATTAGTCTGTCATATAGCCTCCGTTCTGAAAAAAACTGGTAATATTAATTATGTTATTATATTATATAAGTATATAATAACAGTTTCTCCGTGCATCACCAGTTAATTACCTTATCCCAACGAACTCCCCGGCCTAGTCGGTGGAAGTTCGTATCTTATCTCAACACCATAATAAGTAGTCCCGCAAATAAATACACCGCTAACGCACGCGATATCAATACAAAAATTACTAAAGCTACATTATCATCAACCTCTAGTCCAAATCGCATACCCAATGATTCAAGTTCAATAAACGAAGTCTTTTCCGGTAACAACGATTCAAACACCGAATTTCAAACGATCAAATCCAAATCGAAATCTTTCCCCGACTTCCCTCGAATTCTCAAAATCACACCTATTTTAATAAAACAAGTAAAAATCAACATATATCTGAAAATGTCTCTTCTGACAACATTGCTGGTAACCATTTATCTTCCTTTCTATTGGAATTTAAACAATTAATAAATCCCTTAATTCAACTACTCACAACAATAATAAATAAACTAATTCTCAAAAATATCAAATAATGAAGCAAACTTAAGCTCTTTTAAAATCATCCTATGGAATACTAACGGCCTCAGTAAAAAAGGAATCCGAGCTACTAAATTTTCTTATAGAAAATCAGATTGATATAGCACTAATTTCCAAAACGCGCTATACTCTAAATTCAAAATATTTCTTCCCTGGCTATTGTATTTATAAAACTAACTACCCAGATGGCACTTCACACGCAGGTACCGCTATTCTTATTTCATCTATAATTCATCACCATCCTCTTCCCCATCTTCAAAGTCCTACTATTAAAGCAACAAATATTTCAATTACATTAACGTACATTCCAACAACTATATCGGCAGTATATTGCCCTTCTAGTCCAGGTATATCTCAAGTCCAATTAAACCTATTTTTATCCTCTGTAGGATATACATATATTGCTAGGGATCAATGCAAAGCACCTTTTCTGGGGTAGTCGCGTCGAAAATCCCAGAGGTTGTTTAATTTACAACACAATACATAGATTCGGATGTAAAGTTATTTCTCCAACCGACCCCACCTACTGGCCTACTCATCAAAATAGATAACCCGACACAATAGATTTCTTTCTTTTAACAATCCTCGATCACATACTCCACATTATACAGAATGTGTGTGACCTCTCTTCTGACCACAGTCCGGTTCTACTAAAAAATTATGGAAAAACCTACATACTCTCTCATCGCCCTTCATTATCTTCTGGTCCTATAAACTGGGAAAAATTTTCTATTTAACTCGAAAATGCCACAAATATTAAAATCCCCCTCAAAACTCACAATGAAATAGAAGTCGCAGCACAATATATAGTTAGCATGATACAAACAGCTGTGTAAAATTTTAACTATACTCAAAATCCACAAAACCTACACAAACTAAATCCTCATATTTTACCATTAAATGGAAATAGACTAATCGCAAAGAAACGCATAGCCCACTCCCGTTGGCAAAGAATAAGACTTCCTTTTGATAAGCACACGTTTAATAACCTAGTAAATACCATTAAAAAAACTAATACTAAAACACAAAATGAGCATTTTGAATTAAAATACAAATTCTTAAATATAAAAGATGTTTCATTATGGAAAATTACCAAAAACCTCCTAAAATGAAAAGAACTTTCATGTCCAATTAAAAAACCAGACGGTTCACTCACACTATCTGAAGTTGACAAAGTCAATTTATTTGGCAGACACTTTTTTAACATATTTAACCCCATCCCATCACTTCTCCTGATACTAATTTTTTAAACAAAATAAATAACTTTCTTGATGCCCCATTACCAATGTCTCTCCCCATAAATCATATTTCACCTAACAAAATCGCTAATGCGATCCAAAGACTCAAACTTAAAAATCACCGGGATATGACTTAATCACAAATAAAATCCTCAAAAATATTCCCAAAAAAATAATT